CAAAAAAAGCTTCACTAAAGCTTCGTTTTTGTTTTAGTATTAGTTTTATTTATTTTTTTTATAAATAGAGTATTTTTTGAGTGACCTTCCTTCTCCAATACCGAATTACATAAAACCGAAAGCTCATGTATGATATTAATTGATAAAGATGGAAAAAAAAAACAATTCCTATTATAAACAAAAACTGTAGTTTCAGTTTTCAATTTTATTTCATTACAGATTTCGCCCCACCCCAATTTTAGTTTGTTCCTTATGTCATTAGTTTTATAATCTGCGCATGTGTTGTGCAGCATCCAGGCGGTGGACGTGGAGGCGGTGGCCGTTACAGTGAAGGAGCTGGTGACCTATGCCCTCACGCTGAACCCCAACAACCAATCGTGGCTCATCACGCAGGCTGATATCTACTTTGGTAAAGCGACGCCCTCGGACAACATTTACAAACCGACAACGTTAATGCCGGCGTTGTGTCGTGTTGGCCCCGCAGCAACCAATCAGTACTCTGCTGCCCTCAACTTGTACCTCCAAGCCGGTAGCGTGTCGTCGGATTTTTTCACCAAAGCCGTACCGCCTGACGTCTACACGGACCAAGTGGGTGCTCGCATTGCTTTGATTTGACGTGTGTGTTTGTTCCCTGCAACCTTCTCTTCATTCTTTTAAACATTCCACGCAGGTTCTTAAGAGAATGATCAAGTGCTGCTCGATGATGAACTGCCACACACAGGTCGCACAACATCACACATTTTTCAGTGCAATACTATAAGAGTCTATTTATTGTTGCTCTTCCATTTGATTGTTTTTAATTGTGTTGTTTTTCATGCTGATAAGCATGGTAAGCTGTCCACTGTTGTAACCGCTGTTCCTGAAGGGGTTTAAAAAAAAAAAAAGTTGTGTTGCAGGTGGCGGTCCTGTGCCAGTTCCTGAGGGAGGTGGACTACATGACGGCGTTCAAAGCCCTGCAAGAGCAGAACAGGTACGCCTTGTTCCGCACAGCCTTGACCACCAAAAAAGGTACACAACAGTTCCACCGTGACTTTGTTTTGTTTTTTTTTGTTTTTTTTTTTTTTTTT